TGCTGAACGGCGTCCAATGGCATCTGTAGATCTGGCTTCAGAAGGGGTGCTAATTCTACGAATTCCTCACATTGTCTTTTTGGGCGTGAATACATGTTCTTTGCAAATATATACGTCTCTCAAGTTAACTGCATTGCCGAAGTCGTGAGTTTCATACAGACCTGGTACAAAAAACAGTGTTTCAGGTTTACCATAAATAACAGAAGGTATGTTGCCTTATTTCATGTGCAATCCGGTCTAACTCGGTTTGTATGAGGTCCATAAAGCAAAATTTTAAGTTATCACATTGTATCTGGTCCAGATCATTAAATGCACATGTATCGCGTAAGTCTTTGAAAAAAATTAATCCACCAATGGATTTCATTTTGTCGTAATGTACACCACCACTTCTCAATGCGTTGGTTAGATGTGCTTTTTCCAACTACAACGCTTTGAGTACCAGCAATCGGATCTGTAGAATCGTGTCTGAAGTATTCCTGCAATAGTAAAGCAATGCAGTTTTCCGTACCAACATCACAACGTAGTATTGGGTGGGGGGACTTGGTATTGTTCATTAAAGGTGTCAAAAAGTATCTTGCAATAAGGCGTGGGTCGTTATTTGAGTCCGAAACCTCTAACCATATTATTTTTCTACTATACCTATTCACAGCATGTTTATGGTTTACATTTGTCTCAACCGTCCATATGTCATATAAAACTGGTCCCTTGGCGTAGTATACGCGTCAGCATAAGCGATGAGCTTTCCGCAACTCAATACCATCTGGATCAAGCACTCTAATCATTTCCATGACGTTATCCCCCTTGACGTACATGTTGTAATCCAGCATTAGCGTACGTCACATTGTACATTATCCTATGCATTGTCCACACTTGTATTTCTCTGTTTATAACACCAGACACAGTCTCAAAAGGAGTATATATTCCATTATACCGTTTTAAATTTAAGCGTTTAAAAATTCTATTCACTGTACTTGTATCTTGGCACGGTAGCTTTGGTAATGCCGAACAGTATAATGATGAAGACACAGATCAACATCAAGGTTTTCATCCTCGTTACCTTTTGTCCAGTAGTTGTGTCTGAAATAAGAGTTTATCTTTTATTTAAATCTTTATACATTCATAGTATATAAAATGGGTAAATCTTCTAGCTCCGTCTTTTAAAGATTGATAGGTACGAAAAAAAATAACATTTAAAATGATAGTAGGATATTTTGTTCTAACTTGTCCTATATCTATGTTTGTTCTTAAGTGTTTTTTTTCTCAATTGTTAAAATATACAACAAAATTAGACATTGATGCTAAATGCAAATGTGCCTCGATCACAATTATAACTTTGTACTTGTGTGTATGAACATAGCACTTGCTGTTCATTATGAAATTGGTTAACACTATCTAAGTACTTCAAAGAAATACTGATTCTGTGTTAGCTAAATAAAATGCTGAATTGCGATACATGTTTAATACTATGCACCATGCCATTTTAAGACGTAAAACTTGTATTCCCTGTCTACTTGTAAAACAGTTATTTGTTTGTTACTCATGGACAGATTTTGTGATGAGGACAAAAATGTGTAAGCACTCTAATATAATGAACATATTTAGAACATAGCAGATTGCAGAAAACACACAGTCACACTTGTGAATTAAAGTCTGATATATTACCACTATGGGATTATATCAAATAACATTAATTCACTCCTTAACACATCATCTCCTCCATGACAAATCTCAATGAAATTATTTAAAACGTTTAAAAAACATACCTGAAACCAAAGTTGCTGCTTTCAGCTTCTAAAAAACGTGTAAAATGGGTTAGCCATAAGTCATAAGACGTAAGTCACAAATCAAAAGTCACAAATCAAAAGTCAAAAGTCGAAAGTCAAAAGTTAAACATCCGTAAGTCGAAACTCAAAAGTGACCCTCCAAGGCTTCCATATGTCTGTGATAATATTACACTAGAGATTGTTTTATTTGTATTTAATTGATTTGGTTTTGATTGCTTGTTTATTTTGTCATAAACCACATGTATAAAAAGTATAAAATATAAGAGCCCTTATATAAGAGCCACTCTGTTAAAGTTAATTCTTACGGACTAGGTTTATAGAAATATATAGGAATCATTTGAACTGGTAAAAATTTAGTATTAATTCAATTAATCTTATTTGATATTTAGATGCTTTTTACTGTACAATTTTTTAATGAACCTTAAAGTCTGTTGTTTTTTTTTAACTGTAATTTTATGGTAATTGCTTTTCAGCTATATATATTACATTTTCTTGGAAATGTTTTTTAGCTTATTAAAGCATTGATTCCGATCATCTCCTGAAGATATGAGCCGCGTCACGACAAAACAAACGTAATGCGTTTGCGACCAGCATGATCCAGACCAGCCTTCGTATCCGCGCAGTCTAATCAGGATCCATACTGTTCGCTACTAACCCTATTACAAGTAGAGAAACTGATAGCGAACAGCATGGATCCTGATCAGACGGCGCGGATGCGCAGGCTGGTCTGGATCCATGCTGGTCGCAAACGCAATATGTTGGTTTTGTCATGACGCGGCTCATATAATGTTTGTAGAAATTGTTACTTTGGAAGCTTGTTTCTGTGTACCAAAGGTATAATTACATGAAATTATTTGTTTTATAATTGTAAGCATAAATTTGTTAATATGTTAATTGGACAAGATTTTAGTTATAACAGGGACATGAAAATGTTTTGATTTTGCTTAATAATTCATGTAAATTTAGGATTGTGAAAGTATCAGGTGTAATTGAAATAATAACATGTCCCTGTAGATAATTTTCTACAATTTCCCATCATTTATTGAGCTAAAGATGAAAATCGTGTGGTTTCCAGAAAGCAGAGTAATTATTAGCTCACCTGAGCATATGCTCAGGGTGAGCTATTAGGATCACTCTTCGTCCGTCGTCTGTCGTCCGTCGTCCGTTGTCCGTTCACACTTTTAAAACGACATCTCCTCTGAAACCATATGGCAGATCATAATGAAACTTCACAGGGATGTTCCTTGTGTGAAGCCTTAACAAAGTTGTTCAAAGAATTTAATTCCATGAAGAACTCTGGTTGCCATGGCAACCGCAAGAGAAAACTTTAAATATCTTCTTTTAAAAAACCCTAAGAGCTAGAGCTTAGATATTTGACATGAAACATCTTCTAGTGAGTTTCTACCAAGTTTGTTCAAATAAAAGCCCTGGGGTCAAAATTGACCCCGCCCCAGGGGGTCATTGATTTTCCCTATATGCATATAGTAAAAAATTAAAAAAAATCTCCTTTTAAAGAACTCAAAGAGCTACAGCTAAGATATTTAGTATGAAACATGTTCTAATGGGTGTCTACCAAGTGTGTTTAAATAAAAGCCCTTGGGTCAAAATTGGCCCGCCCAGGGGTCATTGATTTTCCTTATATGTGTATAGCAAAAACTTAAAAAATCTTCTTTGAAAAAAACCCAAATAGCTAGAGTTTAGATATTAAGCATGAAACATCTTCTAGTGAGTGTCTACAAAGTTTGTTCAAATAAAAGCCCTGAGGTCATAATTGGCCCCACCCCGGGGGTCATTGATTTTCCTTATATGTGTATAGCAAAAACTTAAAAATCTTCTTTGAAAAAAACCCAAACAGGTAGAGTTTAGATATTAAGCATGAAACATCTTCTAGTAAGTGTCTACAAATTTTGTTCAGATAAAAGCCCTGGGATCAAAACTGGCTCCGCCCCAGGGGTGTCATTGTTTCTAACTATATGTGTATAGTGAAAACTTAAAAATCTTCTTTTAAAAAACCCAATGAGTTAGAGCTAAGATATTTAGCATGAAACATCTTCTTATGGGTGTCTACCAAGTTTGTTCAAATAAAAGCCCTTGGGTTAAAATTGGCCCTGCCGATGGGGGGGGGGGGATCGTTGTTTTTCATTATATGTGTGTAGTAAAAACTTAACATTGTGAAACATCTTTTCATGGGTGACTCTTCCGAGTCTGTTCAAATAAAAGACCTGGGGTTTAAACTGGCCCAGCTTCGGGGGCCTATATACTGGTGAGCGACCTCAGGGCCATCATGGCCCTCTTGTTGGTTTAAAAAGGGTAGAGAAGAAAATCGATAGAGGAAATTGTAGCCTGTCACATTTAAAACGTTTTTCTTTTTAATGGAAAATAAGACGTTTAGATTTTAAAGTTTGTTGCAAAAAAAAATTAAGGAAAAAATAAGGTACTTGAGTATGTAAGATTTTTACCTTATTTTTAAATCATATAATAATATAAAGGAATTCATAAACAATTAATTCGGCTATTTAAGAATGTTATCAATATATTGTAAATCTTATCTAGATTTTCATTACTACAGTATGTTTTAACCCCTACCACACTTAATATGTAAAATGTATTTGTTCATATTTCAATATCATAAGTCAAGTTAATTAAAAATTAATCTTTTTTAAGGATATTTTCAAAATGTTATGTACTGACTTAGTAGCAAAAAGTGCAGACCATGATCAGCCTGTACAAAATTGTGCACCGTAATCTTGATCTACACTTGTTGCAAAGGCACCACTTGCAGGCGAATAGTTAAATACATGTTGATAATTAACTAAATAGCATAAATGAATTTTCAAGGCATTGTAAAATATTTGTAAATGCGTAAATACTTTAATTTAATTCGCAACATTCAAGATAAAGAAAGTTATGCATTGCTTATAAGTTTTTTTATTATGATATTCAGAATAGGGACAAATCTGTCATTTTTCATTATACTGACTTATTCATTTGGATGTCAATAGAATATTCAGCAATGACAGCCTGTTTTACAACTTTTAGTTCTTAATTCAATGTTTATATAATTGTTATCAATGTTTTATGACATTGTTGAGTTAAAAATGAGTGTTTTGAACAATTTGCTTTTTGCTGTTGAAACAAGTGGTTTGAAATGTGATAAAGTAATTATTTTATTGTCAGTGAAGAAAGAGAGGTACTTGTTATGTAATTGTGTTTCAGTGTGAGCCAATCAGTGGGTATGGGTTCCGTCGTGGTGGTTATCAGTGTGTCTGCTTACCAGGTTACTATTACCCTTCGTCGCATGATGGTCCGTTCCAGGGCTGGGAGATTGAACAAGCTACATTGGAAGAATATGAACATGGATTTGACTGTCTCAAAGCTGAAGGTAAGTTTATGTGGTTTATATCAAATTGTCTTACATTTCTGTCCTCTGAAATTTTTAAATAGTTTCAATTTTCAGTGTGATATTGTTATATAGGAGTAAGGATTTATGACTCTTTTTTTTTTTGAAAGGCTTCTAGGTGAAAGAATTAAGGTTTACTAAATAGCTTTGTTTGAGCTGTATATTAGATAATGGATTTTGATATTTTCAGAATTTTAAAGTCTCACTATTAATTTACTTGTACAAATGTTAATTTACAAACTTTTCTTCTTTTTATGTTAACTTATTTTAGTGTATGTTTTATCAATTGATGTATATTAACATTATTTTTTATGAAAGGGATGCAAGTTGTTCCAAATCAGATGCCAGAGTTTGTACGTAGAAAGAAAAGATCAACATTGTATACAGCAACTAAGAAAGATGAGTTTTTGCTACTAACCAGTCCAATGTTAGAGCAGTCTGCTTCTCCTAAACTTAGACTGGTTGCCAACAGAAAGCGTCGCAGTGCCGATGGTAGTGAACAGTATGTGGCAGCAACTTATAGAAAGCAGTTTGTAAAACGATATGATGGCGAGACAAAGAAATTTCGTAAGAAGAGAGAAGCCTTTGAGTACGATTCATGGGAAAAAATGTCAAACATTCGACAGAGGTTCTTTAATGTGACTAAAGAAAGCTGTAGGTCAAAGGAATGTTTTGAACTTTATTTACCTGGTGATGCTGGATATGGCGTGGAGAGACAGTTTGAGGCTCAAGGTAGAACTGCTCTACGTTTATCACATTTCCTTAGTAACTTCTTACAGAACGTTGATGAATATGAACAATTTGGTAATCTTAAAGGAGACAGAGGACTGAATGAGACCCATATATTTGGTGAAGTTTTGGCAACGGTTATGGGTGATTTCAAGGTCCTTGGTGCTGGTGCCTACTTTGACCAGTACAAGTTCCAAGTTTCCCCACCAGTTAATACTACAGATCCAAGATACTCTAATGCAATCACCAGAGAACTCTTTGGACCATTCTCATGGCGAATACAGAACCCTAGTGATGGTCTTGATGCCTTTAGAGCCATAGATTCAGCAGGAATTGCAGCTTATAGATACATAGATGAGCCTTGGTTTAGAAAAATGAAACAAAGATGGGCGACGAATTTCCACAGTCTGAAGAAGTTTATTGACAAACAAATGATACGTTCCAGTCCTAATTCAACAAGTTCCATCCGATTTGAACATTATCCAATCACATATAGCGCACCCAGCTATGAAGATGGTGAATGGTCTAGACCCGAGTTCAAGTGTGACGGTTATATTGATGACTGGGTGTCAACCTACACAGTTCCTTTCTTTGGTTTAAACAGCGACAAGTCACAGATAGAATTTAAGTAAGTTTCTGTTTGTATAGATGTTTGATTCAACACAGATTGCCAGAACATTAGACAAGGAAGTTAATATGTATACATGTAGTATAAGTTACTATTAAAACCGACCAGAAACGGAACAGAATTACCACACGGACTCCGCCCTGAATTACAGTTTAATTTGATACAAGAAATTCTAACATTAAAGTCAGATCAGATTTTTAAAAAAACAAACGTTTATTCATTTTAATTTATATTCTGTTAATGATTAAATTCGTTTCTTGAATGATTTGAAATTATCTGCAGTTAAATTTATTGATACGATGTGAATATAGGAAGAATTAAATTTAAAAATAAAAAAGTAACGAAAAAATCTACATGTATATAATTGAAATTTATTTTATAGATATAAGTGAACTGAAGCAGGCTTAAATTCACCAGAATGAGTTTGTAATATTGTGATATTTAAATATTACAGGGGAGTGATAAGAATTCACGTCAAGTTGAAATATCTTGACATTAACCAATGTCCAGCAGATATCTATGTGGCCAATACCTTCAAAAATACAGCAAAATGTGATTTCAGATCACAATATGTGAGTCCAAAATATATTTGTTCTAAAGTTTCTATAATATATGAATTGTTCATTTAGACAGTAACAGATGAATTGCCCATAATTTGTGATTTTTGAAGTTAAATCTCAAAAATGTCTTGTTATTGGGTATTTTCTTATGCACAAATGGATATAAGTGTAACTTTAATTGTAATTGTTTTAAATGAATGAGATTTAAATGAACATATATGTAGACAGACAAGATTTCTATATATATCAACATCTTGTTGTATAAAGGTAACTGTAGAGATATTTACACGTGTATTGATATATATCAGGGACTGAAAAATGTTTTCAGGAACACTTGTCCTGCAGGATACTAAATTCTATGAACAGGCTACATTTTCCTACTCAAACTGCTGCAAATTCTCTCAAATTCATTTATTAATACTCTAGTTGATGAGTTTAATTCTTGTATATAGATATGTCTATAAATATATACAAAAACATCAATAGTTATTATCTCCAATTTCTACATTCTTTTATCCATCCTGAACTCAAGTATTTATTACAGGTACTTTAAATGTAAATATTTTACAAATCCGATAGCAGATATATATACTGGGACAATCAGAGAACAAGAGTATACCACCAGTGTGCAGGCTAACACAGAAGAAAAGGGCAAGAGGGATTGAGCAGTCTTGTCTGCGTACTGGCGGATTATAGTCACGTAACTGCCACTGTGCTTGTTCTCTGATGTCAAAACTAGACTGTTGCTGTGGCAACATTACAGAAGCTTTAGATCATCAAGGAGTAACATACTGGACACCATGTGGCTGTTTATAACTGATTCTTGTGATAAAAACAATTATGCAGTAGTAACTTTTGGTGTAGATTTTATTCTTAAATAGTAAAGAGTTTTTAATTTCCTTTATATTATTCCAGTGTGTGCCTCTGCCAGGCAAAGGGTTTGAGCAAGGTGCTTACAAGTGTGTGTGTCGTCAAGGTTACGTTTATCCATTTACTGACCTCTCATGGTTCTTTCACGGTCAGACAATGGAAGAAGAGTATTCAAAGAAAAGTCTTGGTGAGCCGAACAGGTACATAAGTTTAAACATTTGATTTGTGTATGATAATTCAAAATTAGCATCAACAAAAAGTGATTTTGTTAGGGGAAAAACATGTATGCTCTAACTTTGAATCTATGCTTGTAAGATTGAAATCGTTTATGATCTTTGATATTACTGATAGGTGTTTAAAAAATAAAAGGAAGATATGATTAAATCCAATATATTATTGGCTTTTTTTTGTTTTTGCTCTATGATCTTTCTCTGTTTCTAATTAGTTTTTTTTTCATTGTGTTTATTAATAAAAAGGTATTGTGTTTTCATTAGGATGTCCTGCCCAAATACTTGTCTTAGATTAAAAATCTTGTCTATAAAAAATATTTAAACGAGTTTTGACACTGCAATGTTTAATGAAATGAAATCTGTCTTTTTTCAGATATGACACATTGAGGTGCAGAATAGCTGGAGCAGATGCTGCTATGGCAAATGTTGTCCTCATTGCTTTTACCACGCTGTCATTGTTGCTATGGAAACACTGAGAACATAACAACATCTTAGAACATTTCTGTAAATAATAGTTTATGAAGTAGACAGAAGTATAGACAAGTCTTCCTGTATATATAGACATTTTACACTGTGATTTCATTTTCATATTGTGCACAAATAAATCATGAAGATTGTACCTCGTGCTTGTTAATTAGGGGTATCATTTTTTTTATTCTCCTAAGTAAATTGATGACAGATTTTTATCTTACTCATTTAACATTTACACTTCCTTGATTAAATACATTATGGATTATAGAACTTTATGCTTACATATATCATTTTAAAGTGTTTTTAGTCCTGTCATTAGAGTGCCATTTAACATAATACAAATGTATTGTAAATATATGGATTATACAACTCAGAAGTTTGAGTGTATTTTATGTAATATTACTGAATTGCAATTTTACTATATAAACATAAGTTTCGAAACTCTAATTTGTGGCTTAAGATGTTCTGTTCTGTTCTATTTAGAGTACATCTTACTTTCATTTTGTGACATGATTCTATATTGTATTTATGAGCAATTATTTATTTGGATGGTTCCTGAATTTATTTGTCATGTATCATATTTCTGAGTGCTATATTGATGATATTGCACATATCGATCAGAGTTCAGTTATATATTCAAGACCTAAGTTTTGTGTAGTTAATTACATTACATGAATTACAAAGCATCTAAAATTTACAACAGCACTGCCGTCAAGATTGCAAATTGTTTTGTATTTCATGTAACCAGGCACATTGAATAATTGGTACATAATTATACGACCAAGTGAACAGGAGATATGATTTAGTGTGTCATTCCATTTTCTTTTTTTTTTTGAAAACTTTCTCATATAGCTCAACAGACCATTGTCTCTGTTTACCAGGTGAAAATAATATCATTATTTCATAGATCCTGCTCTGAGTCTGGTTTTGACTTTTGTTTTTATGCCTCCCTTCCGTCCGTCCGTCCGATAATCTTGTCCGCGCTTCATCTCCAAAATTGCTGGGGGAAATTCAGTGAAACTTCACAGAAGTGATCAGTACCGTCCCTAGTTGGGCATATCGCCAGCAAGTTCCGCTCCACTACACAGAATGGCGCCAGAGATATTAATAGCAATATCGTGTCCGCACTACTTCTCCTAAACTGCTAGGGGGATTTCAGTGAAACTTCACAGGAGTGATCAATATCATCCCTAGTTGTTCATATCGCCGTCAAGTTTTACTCCGCTGCACAAAATGGCCACCAGAGCTATTAATAGAAATATCTTGACTGCCCTTCATCTCTAAAACCGCTGGGGGTTTTCAGTAAAACTTCACAGGAGTGATCAGTATCCGTCCGTGGCCGAGTGGTTAAGGTCGTTGACTTCAAACCACTTGCCCCTCACCGCTGTGGGTTCGAATCTCGACATGGACTTTGGATTCTTTCACGAGAGGAAGCTATCCAGCTAGCTTACGGAATGTCGGTGGTTCTACTCAGGTGCCTGTTCGAGCCTGAAATAATGCACGGAAGGGCACCTGAGGTCTTCCAACGTCGCCAAATGACCTATACTGTGTCGGTGTGACGTTAAACCCAAAACAAAACAAAAACAAATCTGAGTTTCCTTTGTAAAAGAAAATCAATGGGCAAATAGATCGACATGTACCTACCAATTTTGAGTAAGACAAATCAAAGAAATAAGTGTAATTTCATATGAATATTTCAAAGAAATTGAACTTAAGTCTTAAATTGCTTTTTGAAGGAATTTCTTGTAGGAAATTTAGTTACTGATTTATGCTTTTGATTGCAGTTTACAAATTTAGTAACAATAAAATCATTTACTATTCAGGGAGAAAATAGGTAAAGGTTAATCTATAATTTTAGCAGTTTTTATGAAAGTTATATCATATACCATATATATATTGGGAACATGTCAGTGCATTGTAAATTTTAGTATGAAATTGTTTATATATAATTATTGTCGCCGAGGAAAGGATTTGAAAGAGTGATACTTTTGTATATAGTTTAATATGTTATATATATATTGTACAGCTAATATTTTTAAATACTTAATTTTTGAAATAAATATTAATCTAATAGGAAAGATTTTTTTTCTATTTGTATTATAAGAATTGTAGACGCGCTACAAGCAAACATTACCGTAATCCTATCTTTTGACACTTTAGTTCCTTTTGATGCTGTCCCTTACACAGATAATGTTTTATCTGGCAAAACTCTAAAATACAAACCAGAACAAATAATACAAAAAATACAACTAATTGAATTTTTTTGTTCACATTTTGCAAAATTTGTCATAAGATGTGTGCGTGCGTGTGCGTGTGTGTGTGTGCGCGTGTGTGTGTGTGTGTGTGCGTTTATACACTACATGTACTTACAATAAATTTGAATTGACAGAAACGATATCGTTATTTGTTACTAATGTCAGAGATTTTATGGTGACAAAATACCAACATTCAAATTCTATTTTAATTTTCAATATTCAAAGTTATAATTTTTACTAATAAAAAATTAGAAAAAAATAAGAATACCAACTTACACGAAGTCTAGGTCTAAGCACAAAGAAATTTACAAACTAGCTAATAATCAGATTACTTCATGCATCAGAAAAGAAAGAAAATTTTACAAACAATAACAACAAGGAACCACCAAGCATACAATACAAATCAAACAAACAAACAAACAAACAACCAAAAAGTACAGACTGACATTTATTTGACAAAAATCTACATACGGCCCTAAAAAATCTTGTAATACTTATCTTTTATAAACAAAACGAAATCTAATCGTTTTCATAGACTGTAATACTTCACTGGTTATTAAATACATTTTTTTTCGCAATCTTTAAAACTGAATTATTATATTTATCAGTAAAAATTTAATGAAAAACAGAGCATAATTTAATTACATTTTTAACCTGACATGGTGAAAAATACATGATGTAAATTTACATTGACATAATAACCAGTTTTCTGTGTGAAAGATGAACGAGTTACTTCTCTTTATGTAACTAATCGCGCGCTTCATGGGTACTGAACATGTGTATTACCAAAAAATGTACTGTTCATGAAATGAAATAATCTTTTTATGAATTAATTGAGAAATTAGTTAGATTCATAATGCTACTGAAGAAATATATAGACTAATAGCTAATGTGCAAATGAATATATGGATTGGAATTAATGTGCAGAATATTATAAACAGTTAGACAATATAATAAGGATACATCTGGATAAATCGTCTGCTCATAGAAAATCATACAGGTACGTTTTATTCACTATGCAGGTCATTCTTTGTAGTGTAACGCCCAGATCTGAATAACTCAATATGAATAAGTCAACACAATATCAAGTTTATGAACGTCAGATATATGTATTTATTTAATATAAGATATTATTCTATAAGATTTAGCATAATTTAACCTAAGTGAGTGAGTCTGTTTAACATCAAAAACTACACTGAAAAATTTATTATTTTTGCTAACCTTAAAAACTAAAATATTATACGCCTTAAACTTTATACCTTCATAATTCATAAATGAAAATATGCGTTTCCGGACAGCTAACAATTAAATAAACAATTATGTTTGCACGCTATAGGTATTGTTTGGTTTTATTAACCTGTCAATTACATACTGATAACACGGTCGATGCACACAGTATATTAAACTTCGGTAGATTTTCGGTAAGTTCCGTGAGATGTACGTTGTACGATGGAATTTAATTTAATTTGTAGAACTCAGCGTTATAGTGCAATAGGGTAAGGCACGGATGTATAATCTAACTGCCACACGTGTTTTAAGTTCGAGACCGCGTTGGTCCATGTTTTTTTTTCTTATTAATACTTTCAGCATTATTGATGCTATATATGATTATTTTATATTGTTCGTTTTGTTTTATTATGTTTTACTAAATTTTGTTATTCTAAACTCATTTAAATAACATGTTTAAGAATTCATGTTAAAAAATTAAAACGGATTAAAATCAATAACTGTCTTTCAATGCCGTAAAACACACTACAAATTTGTTCCATTAAAATATACTGCAAAAATAAAGAAAGAGTACTAGTGGCAACAGTCGGGATCGAACCACAGACCTCTCAATAATCAGGCATTCTCTTTACCGACTGTGCTATTGTGAATTAACGAAAACCTTCACATTAATTGATGTGACTTTCAATCCATGACTAATATACTCCACATTAATTCTCGTAAACTACACGGACCAAATCGAAGTGGGATCGAATATTTAAATGAGTCCTGTAATGTATTCATAATTGACAGGTCAATAAAATCAGACTATACAAATCCCCGCTTAGGTGATGACATGCCCATCAATTAACTAAACAAGAGCCATGTCAACATGGCCATTCCCGCCGAATGTGTTTGCTCATTGGAAGAATGTATTTGTAGTACAGCAGAATAATTCCATTTTAAGAGGTATTTTGGTAATGAAAACTGATGGCTATAGTGATTACAGATTTGAAACCTATGTGAATACTGATGGCTGAAAATAACAAAGGGCAATAACTGAAAAATAATGCAGGGTAGGTTATCATTCTTGTGTGCTGCATCCCTCCTCAGTAAAATCGATCCACCTATGAAGTTTCAAGATGATACCTCAAATACTTTTTTGAGAAAAAAATTGAATTGAAAAATTAAGTATGAAAAATAACAAAGGGCAATAACTCAAAAATTATAAAAAGGTAGAGTTATCATTCTTGTGAACTGCACACCTCCTGAGTTAGATCTATGCACCTATGAAGTTTCATAATGATATCTCAAAGGCCTTTTGAGTTATGCTCTGGACAAAAATTAATTTTGAAAAATAAAAAAGGGCAATAACTAAACAATTATGCAGGGTAGAGTTATCATTCTTGTGTACTGCACTCCTCCTCAATGAGATCCATTCATCTATGAAGTTTCAAGTTGATACCTCAAATACTTTTTGAGATAAGCTCTGGACAAAATAGCATGGAAAAGAACAAAGGGCAATAACTCAAAAATTGTATAGGGAAGAGTTATCATGCTTGTGCACAACATTCCTCCTCAATAAGATCTATCCACCTGTGACATTTCATGTTGATATGTCAAACACTTTTTGAGTTATGCTCCACTCAGGTGAAAAATTAAGTATGAAAAAAACAAAGGGCAATTACTCAAAAATTATGAAAGGTAGAGTTATCAATCTTGTGCACTGCACACCTCCTGAGTGAGATCTATGCACCTATGAAGTTTCATGTTGATATCTCATAGGCTTTTGGAGTTATGCTCTGGACAAAAATCAATTTTGAAAATAACAAAGGGCAATAACTCAAAAATTATGCAGGGCACAGTTATCATTATTGTGCACTGCACTCCTCCTCAATGAGGTCTATCCACCTATGACATTTCATGTTGATATGTCAAACACTTTTTGAGTTATGCTCCACTCAGGTGAAAAATTAAGTATGAAAAAAACAAAGGGCAATTACTCAAAAATTATAAAAAGGTAGAGTTATCATTATTGTGCACTGCACACCTCCTGAGTGAGATCTATGCACCTATGAAGTTTCATGTTGATATCTCATAGGCTTTTGGAGTTATGCTCTGGACAAAAATCAATTTTGAAAATAACAAAGGGCAATAACTCAAAAATTATGCAGGGTACAGTTATCATTATTGTGCACTGCACTCCTCCTCAATGAGGTCTATCCACCTATGAAGTTTCAAGTTGATTTCTCAAATACTTTTAGAGATATGCTCCGGACAAAAATGTCGGACGGAAGGACGGACGGACGGAATGACATTCGGAACTGCCTCGGCTATTATCTATAATAACCTCGGAAACAATACGGATTGAAAGTAGTTCTACCACGTGGTTTACAGATGTATAATGTAAAACGAATGTATATATTTGACATCTAATGTCTGTTCCGGTACTCTTCTGGTTGAAAATATGCCTGACAACAATTTGTAATTTAAATATGCCCACTGATGTTCAATTTTAAACAAATCCAACTAAATGTCAACAGGTTGGTTCTTTGTACTTTCGGTTTCTACATCCATATTAGTAAATATGTAAATATTGTATTGTTTGCTTTTTTACCTATGAATTCACTTATTTTAGGTGGACTTTAACTACATATATTGGAAATAAACTTGTCAACAACTCCCAGCATTAAATTACTATTTGTTTACATGTTTAGTTTCTTAGCGTAGGTTAGACCGGAATACCGCATCCGTTCTGTGTATTCTTACTATTGTGTTCGAGGTCCTTATCCGAAGACTGACGGAAAGGGACGAGTAGTTGCGATTGACGGAATGACGGAAGGTCGGACGGACGGACGGAGACTATTTCTATATCCCCCGCCGCCTTTTCGGCGGGGGATAATTAGGCATATCCTATTCGAGTGTCCGATGACAGCTCATTATATTTAGTATATCCGCCTATGTTTTATTGACTAATTACTGGCTAATTACCGTTATCACTGGTAGTAATACGGCTGAGTGATCAGCCATTATGTCAACAAAGGTCACTATGTAGTGCACTAAAGATTGTTTACATTTTTTGACATTTGTCAAAATCGGTTACTTATCACTAATTGCATTGATGTCATCCATGTTCATAATCTGTCTGCCCGTTTTTTCCCCGGTTACTTGAGCGTATATCTTACATCCGACCACCCATGTCTTTGTAACAAGGCCAGCCCGTTTAAGTTTTCTTGCCTCATAACCTAGATACTCGCGATATGGAGTCAAATTTTCCTGAACAAAAGTACCATCGCCTAATCTCTTCCTCGCGCTATAAACTCTCTGTCGAGCCTCAGAGTTTGTAAATTTCACAATAACCTTGCGATTAAAACTATTTACAGGCTTTCCCTTACGATGACATTTGTCAATATCAGGTTCGTTTAGGGCCAGGCCAACCTTCTTTGCTTGGTCTAAAAACTTCTTCTGAACATTCTCGTCCGGTTTGCCACTATCACCTGGAATTCCAGAGATATCTAAACACATCCTCCTTCCGTACTGTTCAAAATCGTCATGTTTTGCATGTGCAGATTTGACCTCTGATTGTAAATAATTAATTTCAGCTTTCAGTTTAGAAATTTCATCTCGAAATTCTTGTGTCTCTTTGTGTACTATTTCACGAATTTCGTGTCTAATTTCCTTCAGGACCTCTTCTTTCAGTGCTGATTTAAGGTCTTTTATCAATATAGGGGCTAATTTAGCACTCAGTTCATTGATATCCTCTTGGCTGAATTTCATATTTGCAGAATAGTTGATGTTGGGTGGGGTAATGGGTGGGGTATGTAATGATGGAATGTCAATATCCTCAAGAGCTTCAAAGTAGTCTGTCTTCTCACTATCAGCTGAGATATTACTCACGGTGTCTACTTTGGAAAGTTTGTATTTTTTGGTAAAGGGTTTTTGAGCCGGTGACGATTTCTGTCGCTTACGTCTTCCCATTGATGAATGGCGGTATGCCTTCAATAAGTCATTCGCTGACCGATGCTCAATAAGTACATGTATAATGGACAATACTGGTCAATACTGATCATCAATGAGTCTTATCAGTTCATTTTATGTGTACCTTTTACAAATTAGTCAATTATTTGACTGTTTCATACTCAGGAACTAGTTGTAAATGCGAAAAATCACATTATTTGTACAGCTGAAAAAAATTGCGCCATCTTGTTTTTACAGCAGTAGATCTAAATCCTTCAATGAATGAAAGAGTACTGTAGAGTTGAAATAAGAAACTGTTAAAGACAAAAATTATTTTTCGTATTTACCTGACACGCATTTAAATATCTTTTAAGAGACCTAAATGATCGAGAGATACTACATTTTGGTTGTGGATACAATTTAATTTTTTGTTCCACTAAAATATTTTATCGACTTACGGATCATTTTAAAGCATATTTTCATTGATTATATTTCATGTTAAGCTATGATGAAACAAAAGTAAATAACAAGGAAAGAAACTTGTTTAAAAGGAAATAAAGACAGTACACACTTTAGACTTCGTGCGATTCCTGTTACATTCAATATATGAACTTGATGGGTTTTTTTCGTAACTTTATTAACATGCCATAATTTTTAGGCTTAATTCCGGGACACTTTTCATTTTGAGGGGGGGGGGTGGAAATTGATCAGCAAACAAATGAGCCGTGACATGACATTTCCAACATAATCGCCAAATTTGACATTTTCAAAGATTCTCAAAATACGTTCTTTTCTGAATAATTAAAGACAAATTTTATTATTATTGGATAATGAAAACTTGATTTATAATGTTTCTTTGGCGTTAGTGACATCATTCAAATATGCTACGTTACACGGTTTAAACTAAATACTCGTTTTGCTTGACATACTCCTACATGTATCTTAATACGTAAAACGCATGCAAAAATTAAATTATTGACAAGGTAGCTCACACTTTTATAATGACTTTATTACACAAACTTTGTTCAAGAGTACCATAACAATTGTAACCTATCTAAAGTTATGTGATCATATACTGTACACAGGTGGCAGTATCAGTGTTTGGACACCCCAGCCCTATCTGCCCCTGGACCCCTACTACAACCCGGAAAAAAATAATTCAACACTCTAAGGCTTACAATAAGGTACAAAATACAAAACCACCGATGAAATTATATAAAAAAAAAATTTCCACTATCAAAATTATAGTTATAGAAAGGTAAAAAGCCTACTATATGTTCATTTGCCAAACAATGTGGAACACGGGAAATCGTCGTTTCCGTGTTCCACATTGTTTGGCAAATGAACATATAGTAGGCTTTTCACCTTTCTATAACTATAATTTTGATAGTGGAAAAAAATTTTTTTTTATATAATTTCATCGGTGGTTTTGTATTTGGTACCTTATAGTAAGCCTTAGAGTGTTGAATTATTTTTTTTCAGGGTTGTAGTAGGAGTCCAGGGGCAGATAGGGCTGGGGTGTCCAAACACTGATACTGCCACCTGTGATACTGTATACATATAACATATTTACATAAAAACTTGAACTTGACCCACGTAAAGAATATGAAGTGAGACGCGTACACAGCGCTAAACAAACGAACCTACAGCTTTTATTACTTTAGCACAGTTATTGTTTTTGAATCAAGACATATGCTTTAAAAAACAAGATACACGCTATTGTTGTTGGTGTTTTTTTTTCGAATTATAATAATAATAAATAAATTCGAGAGTTGATCTGTGTGTAACCAAACTAAGTGACAAACATTCATTTTGGAAAAAAAAGCTTATTTATCTGTAAAATATTTGTTCTGTTCTGTAACGATATTAAACATCTACTCCAAAACCGGGAGAGACCGGACGATGAACGTGTAATACTATTCGTCGGACACTAGTAAATCCCGGGAGAGACCGGGAATTACCGATAGGAGTACATCCCTCTAAAAATAGATTTTCGGAATGTTTAGGTCATCAACTCATCTTTCGGATAGATGTACAACAATAACATACCATAATAACCCACTGAGAACTACAAAATGATAAATAAAAAAACCCGAAGAGCGCTATTTATTGACGGAAAAGGTTATTTCATTTGAAAATGTTTGCATTGCGAAATTCTCCAGTTCGCTATTCATTGTATATATCGCGACATTTCACTTTTAATTAATAATGAAGCACCCTCGGAATGATCGGCTTTTATTATGACCGACTAAAAGGCTCGAGAAGTTGCTGTCGTCCTTTCTCATTCCATAAAGGGCGCCGCGCTTCGGCGCGGACGCCAATAACCTCATATTTAGATGTAATTTTCACGGTGTTTGAGCACGAAGTGGAGAACATGATTGTCTGGAGGCTGATTCAATTCATGCTGGCCAGTTGAGTCAAAATATTTCAATAAAATCAAACTTGAGAAAAATGTACTAGATTGTAAGGAAAAGTAAATGTTTCAATATTCCAGTAATACTTTACATATCATGTGCGATTAACGATGACTTTTCAGTATTTACAACTATATTCCTACTGCGTTTCTAACGCAGTAGGGCTATTGATGCATATTTTGACCACATTTTGGTAATTTACGTGGTTTGTAATTGCCATTGATAATATGTACATTGCTTCCGTTTGGTTTCTTCACAATATTACACATTCAAATACATTTTCAAAATTTTCATGAAAATAAGCATGAATCTGGAAGCGTGCTGCTTTAATTACAGTTTATGACACCTTTGCTAAGGAAGCCACAGGGGGTAAACTACTGTTTATTGCAAGGCTGTAACGGGGTGATCGTTTCGTTATTTGCGTTTATATATAATTAATAATAATTTGATAGTGAGATTTAAGTATTTAAAATGTAAAATTTCTGGCTGCATAGTAGATTATTTCAGATTTTTATTTTTACTGGGACATAAATCATCTCCGGGACGCCTCTGGGAAAGACATCTTATTTCTGGGACAGCTCCGGACGTCCGGGCCGTTGTGGCATGTCTTTATTGCGTTTTCTCAAAAATAAGCCGAGGTACGCCCCCTGGCAAAACACTGACGAGACTTAACCTGGGACGTTTGTTTACACCTGTCCACGCGCCGAATAATTCCGCATGTACGCCACCTACGTTTACACAAGTGGGTCACGCTTTCTGGGTTAAAAAAAAAACGGTTTTCAATTTAAAAAAGAAGAAAAAACAACAGAAAAATTGTCTTATATTGTTATATTTTCAAATGTTTAAGCTGTAATCTTATTTGACAACATTTTCACCAGAAAGATCAGTCGATGCCGCATCCATAAAGGGCAACCAACGGGGTAAATGTATATTTCGCATTAAATACTCATTATTGAAATAATATACGAAGTTTATTGTGCGTTTAAACACATCGTGATTGTTCGACTGATTTATGGAAATGTCATTTCGGATACTTGATTAATTCAAACATTTATCTTTTTCACATGTAACAGGTATTTTTACCTTCAATGTCCCAACGGAAGTGTTCAACATGATTTGAATAATTGAACACATTTAGTCCGCTATTTTGAAGACAGCATAAGAAACGAAACTGGAAATTATTGTGTTTTGACGTATTCAAACTTATGTATGTTCTAATTACAGGTACATAGAAGTGTAAGCAATGGATACGTTGAGGAAAGCATTTTTGTTTTGGGGCTTACTAGCTCTAACAATAGTGGATGCTGGACCCTTTTCCTGGATGAAAAAAGATAAATTTGATGAAATAATGGACAGAATGACTGCAGTAACAGCAGAAAACTGCCACTCAAAACCACGGTCAGAGCTAGAGTTACCAAAGGAGTCAGTGTCACATGTACCCGTATATAACAAACTGCTCAGTAATGTGTATTTTGCCAATAGATCTATGCTTCTACACATGCATAATCTGGCTTTACATCGAGACTTCTATTACAGTTTTATTTATCAAAGAATGAACACATCAAAGGACTTTGAACATCAACCAGGTTTGATGTACCTGTATATGTCGGCTGCTGCCGATGTATCTGCATCTCCGGGTTGGGTCAACGGCTCATCATTACTTTTTGACAATAATTGTACTTACCCAAATTGGTATACAACAGTTGATTTTAACAGTACTCTCTCTTTATTTGGTCCAAGAGCATGGAGAGCTGATGACTATAATGAACCAACAGATTGGTTACGTGAACCCACAAATAGAACAATTAATGTTGAAGACTACGCAACAGGTAGAGATCCAAACTACACAGCTGAATCATACAAATACGCACCTTATACTCGATATGAGTACGACCCAACAGATGCGCGACAGGGAAAGCCACTTTTCTGGTGGCCAGATAATCTTGGCTACAAAGACTCTTTACGTAAATTCACATACTCGGTTGGAATAAAATTTTCCAATCAGACTGGCAAGTTTACAAAAGATGACTTTGAAGGAATTCCATTTTATGGGCCGCCACAACCTGGTCAGTTTGATACTGATATTACATTACCTGTGCTATTCACAAAGCCATACTTTGATTGTGGACGATCAAATCGCTGGATTACTACCATGTCTGCTCCTGTGGTTGACTACATGCCGAGATACTCACCATGGCTCCATCTTAGGAGACCTAGGTAATGGTTATTTTAACTTCAAGAAACATTAATAGATTTCTGTATGCTTAAAACTTGTGTTTTGCATGTGGATTTGATCTGTTTTGTCAGAGTTATGGACCATGACTTAGTAAAAATTGCAATATTCAATTTGTGTCAGGCGTAGCCCAAAAAGTATTTGACCTAGAGTCATGAAAATTAAAGACATGTTGGTCAGCATGTGAAGTTGTGCACCAGAGGTTAGGTTATGGATTTACTCAGTATTTGTAGAGTTATTGTCCTTGATTAAGTAAAAATTTACAATTTTCATCTTGTGTCCCACGTAGCTTAAAATGTTTGACTTATAGTCATGAAACTTTACAGGAATGTTGTTAATTATATGAAGTTGTGCACCTGGTGTGTTTCTTGTGGATTAATTCTGTTTTGTCAGAGCTATTGCCCTGACTTAGTAAAAGATTTCAAATGTTTTAATTTGTGTCGCTCGTAGCTGAAAAAGCATTTGACCCAGAGTCATGAAACTGTATAGGAATGTTGGTCAGCGTGTGTAATTGTGCACCAGGGGTTGTGGATTTATTCAATATCTGTAGAGTTATTTCTCTTGACTTAAAAATTTGCAATTTCCAACTTGTGTTGTGTTTATCTCCAAAGGTAATTTACTTAAAGTCATGAAACTTTACAGAAATGTTGGTTAGCATATGCAATTGTGCACCTGGTGGTTTGCTTGTGGATTTATTCAGTATAGTAGAGTTATTGCCCTTTACTTAGAAGAAACCATTCCAAGGAATGTGTTATGTGTACCTTGAGTTCTTGAGTTAGAATCTACCAACTGGCATTGTTCAACATGCAATTATTTATACAATTTATTCTTCAAACAACTCAAGTTAGTACTATATCATTAGAGAACTGCATGATTTCTACATTATACAGGTTTGTAGCTGTGGTAGGAATAGATGGAGAGTTTGAGCGTATTGATATCAATCAGTGTCCTTTCTCGGAAGGAAATGATCCTCCAAACATGTTTGCTGGAACACATAGATGCAGGGAAACTACAATGGTAAGTCTATGTTAAACTAGTTAACACTTATGTTGCATTTCAGGCGTAAGTGCTGGAATGCAATGAGTATTTCTACATAGATGCTGTGAAACTCCGATCGTAAGTATTGGTTTGCAATGAGTATGTTACATAGGTGCTGTGATTCTAAAGAAAATTAAATGGCATAGCAACTTTTTTAATGATATGTATGTTCTAGCACATCCTTATAAAACCTATACTTTTTAATGTGAACAAAGAAACTGCTATGAAAGAGTGTGCCAATACTATGTCCTTAATCTAGTGGTTGCAAATAAATAAAAAAACATACTTGAGTGATTACATTTTCATTACATATGCGATGAGTTTGCTTATAATATATGTAACAATAAAGGATTGGTAATTTCGCTGATTCACCTTGTCTTACATGAAAGATCATGGCAAAATGAATGCACCTGATAATGATGTGATTTATTATTCAGAATCAGTATTAAATTGTCAGTCATACATCCATCTAAATGTTTCAATGACAAGTAAGTTCTGGTAAAGATACCCGACTTACCATTTCTAAATAAAATTTTATGGCATATCAATTTTTATAATAATATGTATGTTCTGGCACATCCTTATAAAAACCTATACTTTTTAATGCGATCAAAACGATTATTGCTATGAAAGAGTATGCCAATACTATATACTTAATCTAGTGGTTGCAAATTAATAATACAAATCATAAGGTTGTAAACCTTGTTTTGGATATTGACTATCAATAGTTAATGATGAGAATACTGAATAGTCTTAGAAACTTGATGACTATATAGTGATTGTTCTATATTTACCTGACCTCCCCTGCACAGGTAATGGCAATGGCAGCCCAATACAAGAAATGAGGTTTGCCTGTATCAATTTTTATCAAGATTCGAGTCTGTTGGTAGTTTAATATGATATATTTATCTAGCTACAGTTATGTACATATCTGCTGGGACCAAAATTGATATAGCCATCCGACTCTATACTGTTAGAACATTTTTAGATTATGATATTGAAATCCCTAAGACTTTAACATAAAGGATAAGCTCAACAGGGCATTAGTTAAATTCAACAGGACAACAAGAGCCACTCGAACCTCAAAGTTGAAGACATATCTTTTATATAGAATAAGTATTTATTTACTGGGTTATAATTGTAAATATAAATGAATGTAAACAATGTGATGATGTCAAAATATTAAATATTTCTGATTGATTTAACATTGTAAATGAATTCATGAAATCAGAAATATTTTTCTACCCCCACTTCAGGGGGGAGTGGGGGGCATTCAGATTTACCACTGTCCGTCCGTCCGTCATTTCGTCCGTCCATCCGTTCTCTTTTGTGTCGCACGTAGCTCAAAAAGTATTTGACTATATTCATGAAACGCCATAGAAATGATGATCAGCATGTGTAGTTATTGAGTTATTGCCCTTGACTTAGTAAAAATTTACAATTTTCAACTTGTGTCGCACGCAACTCAAAAAGTATATGACCAAGTGTCATGAAACTTAAGTTACAGGAATGTTGATCAGCATGTGTATTTGTGCACCTGGGTATTTTTGTGTTGATATATTTAGTATTTTTAGATTAATTGCCCTTTACTTAGTAAAAATTTGCAATTTTCAACTTGTGTCGCACAAATCTCAAAAAGTATTTGACCTAGAGTCATGAAACCTTACAGGAATGTTGCTCAGCATGTGTAGCTGTGCACCTGGGTTTTGCTTGTGGATTTATTTTGTTTTGTAGAGTTATTGCCCTTGATTTAGTAAATATTTGTAATTTTCAACTTGTGTCACAAGTAGCTCAAAAAGTATTTGACCTAGAGTCATGAAACTTTACAGGAATGTTGATCAGCATGTGTAGTTGTGCATTTGGATATTTTCGTGTGGATTTGTTTTGTATTTTTAGAGTTATTGCCCTTCACTTCGTAAAAATTTACGATTTTCAACTTGTGTCGCACGTAACTTAAAAAGAATTTGATCTAGTGTCATGAAACTTTACATGAATGTTGCTCAGCATGTGATGGTGTGCATCTGGCGTTTAACATGTGAATTATTCTGTTTTGTCAGATTAATTGCCCTTGACTTAGTGAAAACCGTTCCATTATGTTGTGTTATTTGTTCCCCGAGTGCTTGAGTTAGAATCAACCAACTTTACTAGAATAATGATCAACATCACTGTGAAGCTATGCACCTGGGGTTTTGCATGTGGATTGTTTTCAGTTTTTTTCAGAGTTATTTCCCTTGACTTAGTATAAATTTTGCAATTTTCAACTTTAAAAAATATTTGACCTGTAGGTCTGAAAGTTTACAAGAATGTTGGTCAGCCATGAACGTATGCACCTTGTAGATTGCTTGTGGATTTATTCAGTATTTGTAAAGTTCTTGCCATTGACTTATAAACAAATTTTAGTTTTCAACTTGTGGCACATGTAGCCTAAAAAATATTTGACCTAAAGTCATAAGATTGACAAAACAGTTAAGTGTGGGGGCACCCGTGTCCTATGGACACATTTCTAGTTTATACTGAATTATGCGGTTTTGAAGAGAACAATTTATTACCCCATGCAAGCTATCATTGAACCATTTGTTGTAAATGATTTTTAATGAAGGAAGCTTTGCATTTCAGTTTTATTGTTCATTGCTTTATGAGTTGGGACAAAAAGATTGCATGTACTGTTCTAGTAGAAACTATAAATGTACATTTATGGCTGAAAACAATCTGTTGCCATCATTTTCTCTAATAAGATCTTGCCTGTGTAAAACGATTTTCATCATGAATTAAGAATTTTAAAGGGAGAAAAGCAGGAAAATATTATAAAATACAAAACAAATAGAAATGTTAATTTTTATTGTTGATCAGGACATAAACTTTTTTGTTCTATATGTGAGGTATTTAGGGCAAGTTATTCATAAACTACATTATGACTGACCAAATTATCAAGTTGTAAATGTTGAAGATAAATATAATTATATATCAGATCACTAACATATACTGTAATGTGCAATTTTTGTTTGGGTTACTCAGAATTATACATACATTGTACATATTGTACTTGTTTTTTTTTCACCAGTTTTAAAGTCAGGATTTTTAAAAATTATATAATTCTGTTTATTTGTTTTTGTTTTTTTTGTGTACATACTGTGTGTTAAATTATTTTTTGCAAACAGTTTATGAATTAAAAATCTTTAATAAATATTAAATGTTTGACATCATTTTTATTTGAATTAACTTACAGCAGAAGAATTTACATTTTATAAGGTAAAAATTCATTTGCAGAGATCAATAAATGGTGCTTAAGTAAAGTACATAGAACTTCGTAATACATTTAAAATGTAACATTTCAGGGCTATTGGTAATGCTAACCTGACTGTGATTATATTACACTAGAGATTGTTTTATTGTGCCCCCACGTTAGTGGCGGGCATTTAGATTTACCCTTGTCCGTCCGTCCGTCCGTCCTTCCGTCCGTCAATCCGTTCACTTTTGTGTCGTACGTAACTCAAAAAGTATTTGACCTAGAGTCATGAAACTTTACAGGAATGTTGATCAGCATGTGTAGTTGTGCACCTGGGTATTTTGGTCTGGATATTTTTATTATTTTCAGAGTTATTGCCCTTGACTTAGTAAAATTTTGCAATTTTCAACTTGTGTCGCATGTAACTCAAAAAGTATTTGACCTACAGTCATGAAACTTTACAGGAATGTTGATCAGCATGTGTTGTTGTGCACCTGGGTATTTTCGTCTGGATATTTTTAGTATTTTAAGAGTTACTGCCCTTGACTTAGTAAAATTTGGCAATTTTCAACTTGTGTCGCAAGTAACTCAAAAAGTATTTGACCTACAGTCTTGAAACTTTACAGGAATGTTGATCAACATGTGTAGTTGTGCACCTGGGTATTTTCGTGTGCATATTTTTAGTATTTTTAGAGTTATTGCCCTTGACTTAGTAAAATTTTGCAATTTTCAACTTGTGTCGCACATAACTCAAAAAGTATTTGACCTAGAGTCATGAAACTTTACAGGAATGTTGATCAGCATGTGTAGTTGTGCACCTGGGTATTTTCGTGTGGATATTATTAGTATTTTCAGAGTTATTGCCCTTGTCTTAGTAAAATTTGGCAATTTTCAACATGTGTCGCACATAACTCAAAAAGTATTTGACCTAGAGTCATGTAACTTTACAGGAATATTGATCAGCATGTGCAGTTGTGCACCAGGTATTTTCGTCTGGATTTATTTAGTATTTTTAGAGTTATTGCCCTTCACTTAGAAAATTTTTGCAATTTTCAACTTGTGTCGCAAGTTTCTCAAAAAGGATTTGACATAATCAATAAACCTTATGGGCAGGTTGCTCAGCATATTTTAGATTTGCACCTGGGGTTTCGCTTTTGGATTTATCCAGTATTTGTAGAGTTGACTTAGTAAAAAGATTGCCAGAACAGTGTCGCGGTGGGGGCACCCGTGTCCTATGGACACATTTCTAGTTTGTATTTAATTGATTTGGTTTTGATTGCGTTTTTTTTCATAAACCACATGTATAAAAAGAGCCCTTATATAAGTGCCACTCTTTTAAAGTTAATTCTTACTGACTAGGTTTATAGAAATATATAGGAATCATTTGAACTGGTAAAAATTTAGTATTAATTTAATTAATCTTATTTGATATTTAGATGCTTTTTACTGTACAATTTTTTAATGAACCTTAAAGTCTGTTGTTTTTTTGTTTAACTGTAATTTTATGGTAATTGCTTTTCAGCTATATATATTACATTTTCTGGGAAATGTTTTTTTAGCTTATTAAAGCATTGATTCCGATCATCTCCTGAAGATATGAGCCGCATCACGACAAAACCAACGTAATGCGTTTGCGACCAGCATGATCCAGACCAGCCTTCGTATCCGCGCAGTCTAATTAGGATCCATACTGTTCGCTTCTAACCCTATTCCAAGTAGAGAAACTGATAGCGAACAGCATGGATGCGCAGAC